CCTTCACATATCAACATTTCTTTGAAGAAAACCTGCCTGTGTGTTCATATTAGCCATAATGATGCATGCCTCCTAAAATTCCCCTCGACCTAACAAAAATCTCCTCAATTAAGCATTGCTCTAGCAAGCTATTGCCAATCATTCTGGTAAGATTAAGTGGTGAGAAGGACTCTGTCATAGCTATTGTGAATGGAGCCAAAGGGCCATAACTGCAGACAGCCTCTTTCAATTGTTTGAGCTCCTTAAATTTAAGGGGTACATGCTGCAGCATGACCTGTCGTGGATTATTAGGGTCAGGGACTTATAACAGGGAAACCCAATGACTTTCCAAAAACTACCCCTTTGGGAGATGAAGCATTAGAATCAGGAACACAAGTAGTATAATTCTCATAAGCTGGGGGGGGGCATAGATGCAGGCAAGGCAAGGTTTATTCTTCATGCTCTTAAGATTTTCCTTCATTCCCATCTCCCTTAACTGCATTTGTAAATCTTTAATTTCCTCTTCTGATTCCTTTTCTTCCTCAAAATGATCCTCATCCTCATCCTCCTTATCAGTGGACTCAGATCCCTTAGCAAGAGATTGATGAGAAAAGTCACTTTGTGAGGTTGCAGAGGTTTTCCCTCTCTCTGATATTTGTTCCTTAACCTCAATGTTCTTACTCAAGAGGACATCCTTGACTAATCTCCATAAGGAAATGGTTGACATAGGCACTCCATCTGGCCCTTCCTTCTGAAGAGTGTTTTGTAAATCACTCTTTACTTGTTCCTAGTCGGGAATGTTTAATCCCCCACTAGTCAAAAACCAGGGACTAATGCTGAGACCACGATAACTGCGGACTGTCTTTGTTTTAATGTCTGTGCCTTGCTGTTTCAATAACTGAGTGAGTTGGTCCTGTAAAAGTAATGAGGAACTTGAGATCCCCATTCTAACAGTCACTTATCTATGGTAGAACTACTTACTTTTGAGTCGGACTGTCAACCCCAGTGCCCGCTTCCTTGTCTTGTGGCCACAATCTTCAGGGCTGGTCCATCAGGATAGCTCTGATTTCCTGGATCTCAGTGGGACCTCCAATTGTCTCTAGTGTTAACACCAGCAACTGAAGAACCAGACCAGGTGAGAATCTGTGTATTAAGAAGGACACAACATGGGTCATTGAGTAGAATCGAATGCCATCAGTTTATTGCAGCCAGCAGCTTATATACAAGAGGAGATGGGAAAACATCACCTCCTAGCAGAAAGCACTCCGACACCCTATCATAAACAAGGAAATCACAACCCCCACCCACGACCAACAAAGCAAGAAGGGGATGGGGGCATGAAATAATGTTTCAATAACAAGAAAGGTTCATAACAGGATGTTAGTGGGCAGGGTTTAGAAAGACAGGAGGTACCTGTGGTTATGTTGCAGAACAACTCACAGAGAACCCATGAGGGCTGGGTCCCAACATAGGGGAATGGGGAAAAAAAGCAAAAGAAATAGTAGCTCCTACTTGGGCTAAAGAACCCTTCCCAGTAAGGAGACAGGACAGGTTGCTATAAATGAATGAGTGAGGGGAATTCCCTGAAAATGCATTTGAGTGGTGGGGTTTGATGAGGTAGGTGAGGCTGTTCCCCTACCCAGACAACAGTGAGACAAGAAGGAGAACTGAGTCCCCAAAATTCCCTCAGGACTGAGTATGTGGTACCTGTGTCCAAGAGGAAGGAGAGGGATCACTCTGATACCTTGTTGTCCACCCAGGCTCCCTGTCAGAAATGAATGTGTTTGGGTCAAGAGATCCTGGGCCCCTTCACTCAGAGTCATCTATGGCCAGGCCTAGGCAATCTGAATTCTTTTTAAAAAATATTTATGGCCAGGACTAGGAAGTTGGCTAGAGGACTCTGATGCAGGTAGGATGGCCTCGGCTTCATATAGTATGTGACTTTAATGGCTGTCTCATCTATCTCATGGTATACCTTAAAAGTCACCTTAATTCTCCTGTTTGGCTAGAGGACTCTGATGCAGGTAGGATGGCCTCAGCCTCATTTAGTATGTGACTTTAATGGCTGTCTCATCTCTCTCATGGTATACCTTAAAAGCCACCTTAATTCTCCTGCCTGTGATGTTAGAGGTCCTTTCTACAGAAGCCTAAGCTAAACCCTAATATCAGGGGAGATCAGGGAAAAAATGTCATAAGGAGTTGTCTTCGCTGTGGCTTCTCAGCGTCTAGGTTAGTATACTGTAAAAAGGCCTTTTTAAGGCATTCTAGGAACTGAGAGGGATTTTCATGTTTATCCAAAAGTATCTCCAGAAGTTTATCAGAATTTACTTTGTGAGGGCAGCCTTAGGAAGAGCATCTGGCAGGCTGGTTGTAAACTGATCTCTAGCTAGAATGGCCCCTGGGGTATTATAATCCCAGAAGGGATCCTGAACCTGGACAGCCTCTGCCCCTGCAGGGTGAGATGCATATGTCTGAATGGGCACTAGCCTGCTCCCAAACTCAACTGTGTTCCTCAGGTAGTAGGTTTTTTGTCAAAATCATGTATATATCATGAAAGTTGAGGCTATAAGATTGGGTGGTATAGTG